CGGGGCGGATCTGCAACCAGGTCCTGGTCTGTGAGCGCAGGTACCTGAGGAAGGAGTACTACTTTGCCATCACCATGGAGAGGGCCTTCCAGGGGCCGGTGCTCATCGGCAGTTCTCATGGGGGGCTCAGAATCGAAGATGTTGCTGCCGAGCACCCGGACACCATCCTGAAGGAGCCCGTGGATATCCTGGAGGGTCTCCAAAAGAAGCAGGCTCTTCAGCTGGCCCAGAAAATGGGGTTTCCTTCGCAGGTGGCTGAAGAAGCAGCCAACAACATGGTCAAGATCTACAACTTCTTTATTAAATACGATGCTGTCATGGTGGAGATTAACCCCATGGTGGAAGATTCCACAGGGAGGGTGATGTGCATGGACGCAAAGATCATTTTTGACAGCAATTCGGCTTTCCGTCAGCAGAAGGTATTTGAGCTGCAGGATTGGACCCAAATGGACGAGAAGGAGAGAGAGGCAGCCAATGCAGAACTCAACTATATCGCTTTGGACGGGAACATCGGTTGCCTGGTGAACGGGGCCGGCCTGGCCATGGCCACCATGGACATCATTAAGCTCCACGGGGGCACCCCGGCAAACTATCTCAATGTCGGTGGGGGCGCCACAGTGGAACAAGTAACGGAGGCCTTCAAACTGATAACCTCCAATGAAAATGTCCAGGCTATCCTGGTCAATATTTTTGGAGGCCTCATGAGATGCGATGTCATTGCGCACGGGATCATTATGTCTGCCAAGGACTTGGAGCTCAAAATACCAATTGTGGTCCGGCTACAGGGAACCCGAGTGGCCGACGCAAAAGTTCTCATTGCCGAGAGCGGCTTGAAGATCCTGGCCTGCGACGACTTGGATAAGGCAGCAAAAATGGCTGTCAAGCTCTCCGAAATCATGAGTTTAGCAAAAGAGTTGCAAATCGATGTTAAGTTTCATTTGCCCTCCTGATTAAGCTGCTCCTAGCTTCCATTCCCAAGTGGGGCTGCTTTCTCAAATACTTCCTCCCAGGGCCATCATATGGGGGAGGGGGGGCTTAGATTGCCCCAGCTTGCTGCTCAATTTCAACATGGCCCAAAATATGCCCTGGTAGTTTCCCTTATTCTTATTTGCACTCTTTGCTCTAACGTGGAGGGGAAAATTCCTGCCAGAAGAACTAGAAAACGTATCTCCTCCTAATAAAGCCTGACTTTAACGGAAAGTTTCATTTGTCTCCCTGACTGCCAAACAACTGAGCTGCTGGGGGGAAACGGCCGCTCGAATGGGGCCGAGGCAGGTCCCCTCTCTTGCTCTGCCGAGGGAGAGGCAGGGTGGGCTAGTGGGGAAGGCCCTGCGCTGCACTGGGGAGGCCTGGCTTCTTGCCCCCGCCCAGCCCTGGGCGACGCTGGACCAGCCCCCCTCTCAGCTGGGAGGACGGGAGGGGGCCGGGCTGTCGACCGCTCTGAATTACGCGGCGCCTCGAACCGCGGGTCTGGCCGGGCGCTCTTCCAGCGCGGACGCCGCGCGGGCACCA